TAAAATGTGTGATGTTGTGTTTATTATTTTTTTTTATTCTTCTTTTTTTTCTTTTTACTATGTATTTTTTATGTTTATGGTTTAAATGTACATGTGGCGTATTTGAGCAATAAATGTTTTCTTTCTTTCTTTCTTTCTTTCTAATCGTATATCTATTTACAACCCCATTAATATCCACTATTATTTTATAATTCTTTTATAAAAAAAAAAAACGTTAACCCCACACTAGGATTTTCTCCCGTATCGCGCAGGCAGTTTACAAACATAAATTGCACAAGGACACACATCCAGACCCTAAACAATTATTTTTAGAACATACAAATACTTGTTCCGTGCGAGATCAAACCCGCCGCCACCGGTGCAGCCACTCATTGCTGAGCCACTGCGCCACGGTGCTTATAAATTCGTCCGCACATTGGCCCGAACCATTGCGCCCTCCTTTCTGCCAAGGAGGGTCGCGTTCGTATACGGCTTAGAGATCTCTAGTCAGATCGTTAAGCCAATTCCTAAAAGGTTGGGTTTAGTGGGTAAAAGTCACCACATAACCACGCAGCCGGCTGCGTGGTATGCTATGAGCATTCCCAACCTCCCTCCCCCGCTTTCCGGAGGGTTGCCCATATTTGCTTCGGGCGCAAAAAAAAAATGCCCGAACCGAAGTAAACTGAACGACATTCCAACGTCTGGACGCCGTCACCAACTCTCGGCCAATATATTCGCCACTCCATTCGCCACTGTGTTGGCCAACGTGTAGAGGCGACATAATAAGTCGCATTTTAGACTAAAATAAAATAAAGCGGTAAATAAAAACCAATGCACGCTTTTTCATACTTTTTAGGTTTACTACTTTCTATAATCCTAAAAATATTTTTAAGTCATGTACTCTTTAAAATAGAATTAATTTTATTTTTAGAATCGAAATAAAATTAATTATTTTTTATTATAATTGATGCAAACATTATTTTAACCTTAATATAAATTATAAATCAAATAAAGGTATATTTAAAAGTTTATTTATTGTATTTATAAAAATCAAGTGTTTACATACACTATTATATACACTTTTGTATCTATATTTTATTTACATTTAAAAACATTAGTTAGTGCGCCCTCCTTTCTGCCATGCACCCTCCTCTCTGCCAAGGAGGGTCGCTTTCGTATGCGGCTTAGAAATCTCTCGTCAGATCAGTAAGCCAATCCATAAAGGCGGTGTTTAGTGGGTAAAAGTCTCCACATAACCACTCAGCCGGCTGCGTGATATGCTATGAGCATTCACAGCCTCCCTCCCCCGCTTTCCGGAGGGTTGCCCATATTTGCTTCGGGCGCAAAAAAAACGGCTCAATTCGCAGTCGCAGCACAGCCGTCGAAGAAGGAAACAGGAAACAACAAAGGAAAAAGGAAACCGAAACTTAAGGAACAAGAAGCTACCTAGGAAAAAAGTGTTTTAATTTTGCCTCCTTCCGGCTACTCGTCTATCTCTATCTCGAGGTTCCAGTAGGGTCGTACTAATACGCATTCAGGGGTGCGTGGGACGTGCGTCACCAACAATTAGTAAAAAGCGTACGTCATCAAGTGGGAGATTGTCCCAGGGCGACTGTGCGGGCACTGGACGTGTCCCTGCCGTCCGAAACAATGTCCATGTCACACCTATGCCCATAGTTGTTAGGAGCACTAAGCTCGAAGTTGTTGACGAGTGAGATGTGGGACAAATAGTCCGATTAGGTAAGTCCAACTTCTACCGAGAGGTCAATCGACGGATTCAACTCGGCTGGGCAGCGTTCGGGAAACTACGACACATCTTCTCGTCAGGTATACCTCAAAAGCTGAAAACTAAGTTGTACAAGCAGTACGTTTTGCCAGTGATGACCTACGGAACTGAGACGTGGTCCTTCACTGCTGGCTGTATGAGGACGCTCAGCGAGCTATGGAGAGCGCTATGCTCGGGGTTTCTCTGCGTGATAAACTTAGAAATGAGGATATCCGCAGTAGAACCAGAGTGACCGACATAGCCCAACGGATTAGTAAGCTGAAGTGGCAATGGACCGGCCATATAGCTCGAAGAACCGACAACCGTTGAGGAAAAAAGGTTCTCGAGTGGCAGCCCTGTACCGGTAGGAGAAGTGTAGGGCAACCCCCCCCCCCCCTAGATGGAGTGACGACCTGGTAAGACATGCAGGAAGTGATGCAGGTGGCTCAGGACCGTGCTTATACCTTGGTGGAGGCCTATATTCAGCAGTGGACTTGTAAAGGGCTATAATAATGATGATGATGAAAACTTATCGACTTTCAAGGTGGTGAGTACAATCGACGCTAGATGGCATAAATACAAAAACCCCAAGTTATCATATATTTGTAAAATTGTTTATTATTAAATTTCATTCCTAACAATACACAATTTCATCTTACTTTACATGTCTAAAAATAGGGATTGTAACATTTATTTTTTACAAAATTAAACGTTTACCTATCTTAAACTTACATAAGGTGGTTGAAAATTATCATATTAAATAAATCATTTGTCATGAAATCTTTTAGTGTTATTTTTAGTAAACTCTACGAAATGATATTTTAACTCATAGATGTAACAAATAAATATAATAAAATGTAAAATAATTTTTAATTTAGGTAACAATATTATAATAAGAAAATCCTTAAATAATAAATACTCCTGATGCTCTGCAGTCTGCATTGTGAATACGATGCGCCCGTTTATTCAGATCATTCGGGATTCGGTCGGTTTGCGGCTTACTACATATTCAAATCGCGGGTTAAAAAGGTACCGTCAATGGTTTGTGATTGGTTGTACTGGTACATTCAAAAACAAATGAATGAACCATCAATAATTATAAGTGTACCAGCTCAAACGAACGAATCATACATGATTGACACATGTCTACTATGAAGCTTTCCATGCGAGTGCGACGTAAAAGTATTTAACTGACTGATTGACTCATAGAAAATAGATATGTAGCTATATAAGATATAATTAACCGATAAACTAAATAAAGACGCGGGATTTTCCCCCGCGTAAGTCTCAAACAATTGTTTGGCCCCAGCACGTTTAAAAATGTAATTTCTTTTGGTGTACGTTATTAATTATAATAAAAAGAAGCATTTAACATCAAAAAGTGAAAATCTTCCAAATTGTCACTTTGACCCATATAAATAGAATCCAACGATATAAGAAATATCTTCTGTACAGTTTATTTATTTTATATATAAGTAAATTTTATATATTACTTTGTTTTTATTCTATATTGCTACACCTACGTCAAATTCTCACCACTCCATGGGTTGACTGGTAGAGAATGCCTCAAGGCATTAAGTACGTCCTCTGTAATCTTTTATTTACGGAAATACGTAATGGGAGCAGTGCCGCGGACTCTTTCTTGCCCCCAATCACCACCAGTATTGTGACGAACCCTGTGCCTAGCCGGGAGACATATTGCTACCTTAATTTCTTACTTTTAATGAGACTACCTATTAAAGCAGCATAGATTACTGTGTATATACTAGAGATAATACAGTTTGTCCATTTATGCCATGCGTACGTGCGTACGTGCGTGAGTGCGAACTGGAACGCGTGCACGTGTGTTACTTTTGTGGGTTATTTAAAATAGAATAGAGGGAAAGAATAATAATAATAATACTTAATTACGTACCATTGTTTTTATTAAATTAATATCAAGGTATAGTACTCAATTATATTTAACAATAACACAGCCTTCTGATAGAATATATATTATTAGATATACTTGAAATTATATCAATTATATTAATTAATTTTTTTAAATGATATTTAATAAAAGAACAGTTGAATAAAAAATATAATATAAGGAATAGTAATATATTAATATATGTAATTGATTATATGTAATGAAATTGAATATATGTAAGTAATATATTTTAAAATATGTAATTGATTTTGATAAAATGTATTCGGAAGTATTTAAAACCACTTTATTTATAAATGAAATTCAAGAATTTGAAAAAGCTTTACTTATTTATGTACTACTAGTTGTGCCCGTAACAGCTTTGGCATAGAATCTTTCTTATATTATTTTAAAGCTGCGTAAATTGCTAATTTGAAATTATATCAATGAAATTAATTTAATTCTTTAGAAATATAAAATGTAAGATCTAATAATATTATGCTAAGAACAGTCGAAAAAATTAAGAATAGAAATTAAAATAATTACTTTCAGATATAATTTATTTGGAAGTTTTTGGAACTTCTACACTATCTATTAAATGAAATTCAAGAATCTGAAAAAAAAAAGGTTGACAGCCGTGCCCGCAACTGCCTTGGCATAGATTCATTCTTCTATTATTTTAAAGCGGAGTAAATTGCTAATTTACTGGGTTTGAAGATGTGTTTAATTAAATTAAATTTTTACCTAAAAATAGCTTTGAACTTTGAAGCTTAATTATTTTGTTGCATCACTGTTTGAAATAAATTACTATTATAATTTATACATAGTATGTATATAGCTAAAAGGTATGATTTCTTCATAAAAACGTTTCAGCGCGTATCTAACTCAAACATTAATATAATGTAATATAAAATATGTTATATAGTTTAGTAAATATGAACTAAACTACGAAGACATGACAGTTCAGTGGTTAACAATTACTGTAATTTAAACATATGTATTATGGACATAGAACTCTGTCAACCTTGCGAAGACGCCTGTGCCTAGCAGTGGGACGTATGTAGCCCCTTACTTTACTTTATAACAAAATTCTTCTTTAATTTATTCAGTAAATGCTCTCTTGAAAAGTCACATTTATTGAATAAAAAGTGGAAGTTATTACAATTATCACTTGTAAAACTTCAAAAATAAATAAAGAATATTATTTATTATCTAATTATTATATTCATACAGTTGCACATAAATATTGCTCTCGCCAGTTGTACGTCGACTGCTTCACTCCGTATTGGAGAAATTTAATTAAATTAGAAACAAACAATTCTTTCCTACTTCACTTAAATTTAGCGCAAACTAAATTCGATGTTGGTAGTTATTCGATAGACTGAGCCAGATGTGTGTAAGCCATGTGGTGTTGAGCTTTTCTCGCTCTGCGATGGCTTCCTGTTTGTAAAGCTTCCATTCGTGGCGGGTTGCTGTTGAGCGAGGACCCCACAAAGGTTTGGATCGGAATGATTGTTTGAAAGTCTGCAAACGGAATATTTGTTATATAACAATGTAGATGTTTAAAAATATAAATATGTAATTTTAATTTTTAAATTTTTGTATTAGTTTGCGCAAATTTTAATTCAAATTTCGATTGCAGGATCTTTTTTAATAGATTATTATTGTTGAAGGGAAATGATTGCCTTTTAAATTTGTAGAACTCACCTCCCAGAAATTTCCTGTCCTGTTCTTGTACATCACCAAGATCATAACTAGAGGGACAAATGCGATACCGACTAGCAGCATCAGATAACCGGAAACTGGAAAAAATATCATTATTGCAGATTCTATTTGCGTTTCCTTAATATATAACAGTTAAAAAACATACCGTAGCCTGCTGTCGGGTAAGTATAATAACCGCCAAAAACAAGTGCTTCGTATGAAATTAACGCATAAATAAATACGACAATCATCATAACAGGAGTGATTATGCCCCAACAAAATCTCCAGTAAATAGAAGTCTTAATTCCCAACATAAACTCAATGTCAAGACAGAAGTTTTCAAGTCCTGTAAAAAGTAATTTATCATTAACGCTCTCATAATAAAATTTATACGAATGTACTAACTACTAAAAGGTTTCAATATTTACCATAAATCCAAAATATACCGACGATTTCAGCAATTGCGCAGAAGAGTATAAGGAATGTACCACCGTAGTAATCGACGATTTCCAAAATGAATTGGCCACCCTGCCAAAAATTAATGATATCTCATTTGAGATAAAGCAAGAAAAAATGTTAAATTTAGAAATAAATTGAATATCACATACAGGGGTGACGTAAACGAGTCCGACAAGGAAGCCCGCACTGCAACATATCGCTGACATAACGACGGTGGGAATGCGCGGGAAAGCGTCCATCATCACCGTGTTAATGGTTGACAGTAGCGCCACAGCTGAACCAACCCCCAACACTGACATCATTAAGAAGAACAGGACTGAGAACAGCTGCAATATATAACTAACTATTAGTTAAATAATATGATATACCTTATACTATCATACGATCAACAACTACATTATATTCATATACAGTAGGTATTTATTTATATGTTAATACTTGTTTACTCATAAATGTAATATTTGATTGCAAGGCTTTAGTCGTAAAAATATTTAATTACTGAAAATTATAGTTCTATTATTTGAATAATATAATATTACTTTTTAATATTATATACTTAAATAGTAGCGTTCGGTCCTATACTCCTATACACTCCATGCGCTCTCGTTAATATATCGCGTAAGAAATATGCCCAAATTTGAAAAAAATTTTTTATAAAATCGAATTTTAGTACTTTGAAAAAATTCAATAGATCAAAATTTTCATTAACAAATTGCCTATTCATTAGTGTCAATCGCAAAATAAAATAATGCTTACTTTATGAGGAGATGCATGTTAGGGTCGTTGCGCTGGTTTTCGGCCTTTAGTTGTCAACTTTAAGGTACAATAAAAAATAATTGCCATTACGGTGACCTAGTGTTGTTAATGTTAATTTGTAGCTTATATAATGTAGTTTTCATTTTTATAACTCATTGATGCTACAAAAGAAATCTTTTTTTATAATAATTTTTGAAGTGAAAAATATGCAAAACGCTAGTTTTCGGTCTCAAATTTTAGATTTCGGCCTAGAAAGAATTTTGGTTTTCGGCGACTGTATTAGAAGAGGAAATACAAACTTAAAAGTGTTTTTGTAAAATGAGTTTTTGAAAATGGCAAAACGGTTTGAGAAATCGGTGCATTTAGTTTCTTCAATCGGTGCTTGCGATTTTTTAACCGTAACATAATTTTTTTTCTTTTTGGGGGTGTTTTTGATATAAAATAATTACCATGATGAATCACTTTTCTTTGAATCATAATCTAATAATAGAATCTTTTTAATATGTCAATCAAATCTTCTCATTTACGAGTATTTTGTACTGCCTCATATTTTAGTTCAACAAAATCTGTTACCATCTCATATCATCAGTACATCTCAAATCCATTTGGTGCAAAAGTCACATCCAATTTTTTTTCAGATCTGCTTCTGTATCGTTTATTAAAATATTATGACACAACGCGCAATTTACTCTTACCCTTTTCTCCTTCATTATTGGATTTAGCGATTTTTCGTATTTGAACTTTATCACTCTTTAATTTTTCCTTTTCTAATCTTTTCTTTTTCAATATTTCTTAGATCTTACTTCTGTATTTTAACTTTATCTTTATCTTCATAAAATTTTCGCCACACCGCAGATAAAATTGCTTCAGAAGGTGCACGTGTACTGTTAATAGTAAAAAATTTTTACGGGTTACGGTTTAATTAAATGTTTTTTCAATTGCATCTCCGTACTCTTTATTTAATGGTACTGAAAACAATGTTCCACTAGTTTGTAGAGATGTACTATAGTCTGTTTTGTTGGAGAATCAATCTACACACCTTCTAAAGTTTCAGAGATCTTGTTTGTTATCGTCAATGTTTGTAGCAGTGTCATCGTGGTCATTTGAATCATTTGAGATTTCGTTATTGTTTCATTACTGAAATCTATTATCGTTTCAGGCAATATCAGTACTGTTGTCGTTGGTAGGTAACAAAAATAAGAGTTTGAATTACTAGAATATCATATAACGATACTAAGGAACCAATATCCAAAGAACTTTCTGACAAATGCAATGTTGAAATTTTGTTATCCATTAACGATTCTGATGCATCGGTTGATGAATAAATGGTTACCAGAACATTGTTAGTTAGAATACTTTTATCTTGGTTTGTGTTGCACAGACTTTTTTGAGACTTAAATGAACTTAGTGGTATTATATTGCTTAATTGGAGAATTAAGTCTTCGTTGGCCTGTCTGTATTACTAAATTTGTGTATTAATAGTGTAAAAATATTGATCTGAGAAGACTTTATTTTCAATTTCCTTATCTCAATCACTATAATAGCAACTTTTATGTTTTCTTTCTGACAAAGTTGATTTAAAATGTTTCAAAACTTTTCTTGTGGAAACTAGGTCTGCGTTAGTTCATCATCATCATCATTACAGCCCTTCAACAAGTCCCCTGCCTCCCCAAGGTTTGCCACAAAGCACGGTCCTGAGCCACCTGCATCCATCGACTTACTTTTTTCCCCAACGGTTGTCGGTTCTTCGAGCTATATGGCCGGCCCATTGCCACTTCAGCTTACTAATCCGTTGGGCTATGTCGGTCACTCTGGTTCTACTGCAGATATCGTCATTTCTAAGTTTATCACGCAGAGAAACTCCGAGCATAGCCCTCTCCATAGCTCGCTGAGCGACTTTGAGCGTCCTCATACGCCCAGCAGTGAAGGAGCACGTCTCGGTTCAGTAGGTCATCATTGGCAACACGCACTGGTTGTACAACTTAGTTTTCATGTTTTGAGGTATACCGGACGAGAAGATGCGTCGTAAATTTCCGAACGTTGCCCAGCCGAGTTGAATCCGTCGATTGACCTCTCGGTCGAAGTTGGACTTACTTATTCGGACTTTTTGTCCCAGGTAAACGTACTCGTCAACAACTTCGAGCTTAGTGCTCCCAACAACTACCGGCGTAGGTGTGACATGGACATTAAACATGATCTTTGTTTTGTCCATGTTTATCTTAAGATCTATCCGTTGAGAGACACTATTGAGATCATTGAGCATAGTGCTTAAGTCCTCCAGAGATTCTGCCACAAGGACTATATCGTCAGCAAATCGAAGGTGAGTGATGTACTCGCCATTGATGTTAATACCGTATCCTTTCCAGTCCAGTAGCTTGAAAATGTCTTCCAATGCAGCGGTGAAGAGTTTCGGGGATATTACGTCACCCTGTCTTACACCTCTCTGCAGTTGAATAGGTTTCGTACTCTGGTTCTGTATTCGGATAGCCATCGTAGCCCTACTGTACAAACACTTCAGCACTTCGATATACCGACAGTCAAATTGGCACCGCTGAAGAGACTGTAACACCGCCCAAATTTCGACGGAATCAAAGGCTTTCTCATAGTCCACATACGCCAGGCAAAGTGGCAGATTGTACTCTTCGGACTTCGTTAGTTATTTCTTTAGAAGTATTTATTCTTTTTTCAATTAGCACCAATTAGTCTTTCCAGGGTATTCTCGACTCATTTCGAGTAATCCACTGCATTGAGATTTATTTAATAAAGTCCGCATTTTCCGAAGCCGTTTACTTATTATATTTCTTTTGAGGAAGAAATTCTCTTCACTGAAGGAAAAAAAAGTCTTATTGAAACTTCTTCCTAAAACGCAACGTGAATGAAATATTTCATGAAATTTCCGTAAACGTAAACTAAAGCACCATTCTATTTTCGGCCGCCTTATTCTTTCATACAATTTTAAGTTGGCCGAAAACTAAATAATTATTTTAGAGTCAATCCAGTTTTCGGCCACGACCGAAATGGGTATTTTTGTTTCATCACTAGCTGTCCAAATTGCAGTACTTGGTGACCGAAAACTAAAAGTTAGTGTCTATGCACGCTACGCTTCAATATAAGTAAAAAGATGAATTATAGTACGTAACCAAATAAATGAAAGAGGGCTAAACTCGGGCTACTTTTCGACCGCATAGCCGACAACTAAATAGTAGGACAATTTTATGTGTCACTTTTCGGCCACTTAATTTATTAACTTTATTAATAAAATATTATAATAATCAATGTCAAATAAATGTATTAGATTATTTATACAGGGCAATATAAACACAATATTAAATAAGTATAGTAAATACAGCACGAAACTTCCTTTTGAATAGAACGCGCGCCACTATTTTTTTTGTTCGATCTTACACGTTTTGACAGCTTCTGTGCCGACGTAACTAACTTTTATGAGTTGTACCTGATTAATTATTGTTACCAGAAATAGTGCAACTATTTAAAAATGCATTAAACTGCATTTCGTACGATAATATTTATTAAAACCGTTATTAAATCAAATTTACTGCATCACCTCGTGCTAAAGGTCGAAATTTAGACCCGCCCGGCTTACCGGCGCTTCGCCATCAATAATTATTTCGTATGGCATTATGCTCAAACAGTTGTAATGTGACTGGGTTCGTGGAAATAGTTCTATCGATTTGAATGAAATATTGTACTTAGATAATGTTTTACTTTACAAGTTATTCTAGATAGATCTGCCTAATATGATAGTGCCTGAGTAAATTTCTAGTTAGACTGCAACTGAACAATTTAAAATGAAGCAATAACGTTGACTTAATCTCAATATAAATGTTTTGTAAAGCAGATCAGTGATGGTTTAATGTACATCGTGGATCATGTTTTTTAACAAAATTCAAAAGTAATTTATTAAAAAAAATAGTATACTTAGGTAGCTATATTTCTTGTCTATAATAAGCAATTTTTTTAAAATATATACTTAAAAATCCAAAAAAGTCTTTATTAAAAATTGCTGGTCATACTTGCGGCTGAAAAGTCTTGGCAATTGCATCCGGATAGGAGATAAAGGCTAAACCCGTTCCACCAGTGCCTACTACTTCCCCGACTTCTTTTTTTAGCACGTATGCTAAATTGCCGAGGATACCGAATATTGTAAAACCCGAAAGCAAACTCGTAAAAGTATCCAGAGTTGTCACAATCATTGCATCTCTAAAAAAAATATAATTTCATACTTTAATATCTATAAGTAATTCCGTACGAAAGTTGACTTTTTCATTGCAGTATTCAAAACCAATAACATAAAGGTATAATAAGTAAAAATAAAACTGTCTGATCCGTTAGGGTTGGGGTGCTCTTAGGTATCGTAATATGATTTCGTACATATTATTTTTCAGAAAATAAATAATATAAACTATAATGTTTTTATTTTAAACTAGCGATCTTTATTTCGACAACAGTGCCACCTACCTGGTCCAAATGTGAATCAGAGCCATCTAGGGACCCATTCAAACACACAAAAATATTCATCATAATCAGTCGAGCCGTTTTTGACTTTTAGCGAGACTAACGGAGAGTAATTGATTTTTACGTATTGTGATAACAATAACTTTTCTTTTATTATTTTTATTTTTATTAATATAATGATGCTTTATATTTTTACATATTGAGATAACAATAACTTTTCTTTTATTATTTTTATTTTCTTTAATATAATGATGCTTTATATTTTTACATAGTGAGATAACAATAAATTTTTTCTTTTATTATTTTTATTTTCATTAATATAATGATGCTTTATATTTTTACTGCGGCTCCTATGTGCGTCTTTCGGATCGAACAGGTTGTTTTTTACATATTATTCACATAAATCATAAAAAAATAACAATAATTGACCTCGTTGGTTTAGTGGTTGTAAACGCAACTGTTGATCACGAGGTTCCGCGTTCGAATCTTGGGCTCGACCAAAAAATCAGTAATTGAGTTTTTGCGTCAAGAAATTCTCGGTGTCAGGTTGGTAACAGTCAGGAAATTGGCGGTGTCTCACCTCTATGTCTCGGAAAGCGCATAAAGCCGTTATTCCTGTGTCTGATCTCTCTCCGGTCGTATCGGTTTACCGTCCCAACGGACTATGTGAGTGAGGGAATAGAGAGTGTCCTGTGCTTGCGCATACACTTGGGCACTATAGTCCTGTCCTGCGTCGTTAACTAGTCTCCGTTGAGGCTGGCCGCCGTGATCGAAATTCGGTCTGGAGGACCGTAACCGTGCACTAAATATGTACTATATACTGCTATGCGTCAGTGCGATAGTAACTGCGTAAGTAGTTATATAGCGCCATTTTTTTTAATTAATAAAAACTAAAAATGCATTCTCGCAAATTGTATCATTAATTATTATTCTATCGCTTGTATCTATATAATATATATCTATATAACTATATAATAGTATTAATGTCTGGTACCTGTAAACATTTTGTCTAAATCCATTGTAAGAGGAGAACATAATAATAGCACCAGTGCACACGGACAGCGAGAAAAATACTTGCGTTACCGCCGCGTACCACACCTAAAAAAAGCGATATTTGATTGGTATATATTATCTTTTAATATAAATGTATGAATGAGAATGCCCACCTAATGGTATTATAGAAACCCATATTATAGAAAAAATAAATTGGGCTACCCCATATCAAATTGGAGTAAGGACTATAACTTAGTTTTACGTGAGAGCGTCGAAATATTAAATCAAGCATAGTAGTAGAAGTCCTTGAAAAGTTTTAATTATACGTGTATATGTATTTTCATAAGTAATGTTTTAATAATATAATAAAACATACACACATACCCACATATACGCATATAAACGCGTGCGCGCGCACACGCTCACGCAAGCACACACAAACACCACACACTCACACGCACACGCACACACACACACACACACACACACACACACACACACACACACACACACACACACACACACACACACACACACATAGTTATGACCTTTTTACCGTCTAAAATTTTAAATTAAAAAAAATTATTTAAAATCTATCGAAAATCAAATCATATCCACCCTACGGCTAGGCCTCTGTCACTCTTGCTACCTGCTTGAAATAATTAGGTATCTACAATCGCGAGGTGCCCCGGGTTACATACTAGGCGATTGAATATTAAAGTTTTGCGCCGCCGAGCGAAAATTGGTCGCCCAGGTAATTTTAGTGTAAACGATACTTACATCAAGTTCGATAAGTTTTTCCCATTTTGGTGTTATAAAGAACAATATTCCGTCGCCTGCTCCGGGAAGGATTGCAGTACTGAAATTCAGATACCAAGATGATATTCATTTAATAAAACTATATCATTAACAGTATTATTCATTTTAATAGCATATATTGCCATATATAACATACCTGATGAGCAGAATGATCATTACGACGTACGGGAATAAGGCGAGGAAATACGAAGCCTTGCCTGAGCTCTTGACTCCCCGAGCCACTATGAGAAAGATAACAACCCAAGATGCAAGTAAGCACAAAGTTAAATACCATATAGGTGCACCTGAAAACAAAATCTATGATTATAAAGAGCCACTAGTAAAAAGCTGTTTTGGTTCTCGCCGCTTACTATACGAAACACAGTAGCACAGCAAGCTAAAAAAATAAGGAGGAGGTTCTTAATTCGACTGTAATTTTTATGTGTGTTACTTTAGAAGTTTTTACCGATTTTGATGATTCTTTTTTTATTTAAAAGCTGGTGCTTCTCATGAGGTCCCATATAAATTTAATCAAGATCTGGCCATTAGTTTTTGTGTTATCCTTAATAATGTGTATTTAAATGACTTCGAATACATTGATGACGTTCTCGTTTTATTTATATTGAAGTCGGTTGTACAAAATGTATTATTCTACCACTTATTTCCTGGCAACATTTCCCGAATCGATCCGTTCGCACTGCAGCCGTAATATGCTGCTGCATGGCTCTACTACATAAACACTGGTTACATAAAGCGCAGGTTTAACAAGTCGTAAGATTGTGTGTCAAGTGTCTCAGGCCCATTAAAAACTTTCAAAACTACCAGTGGATTGGTATAAATTATTCGTAACGTAGAATCGTACCAGTATAGGAAAAGAATAGTCACTGGTAATCGTACGATGGACTTATGTTCATTTCATGGATAACAATATTATTAGAATACGCCCTAGGCAAAAATTTATTGACCTAATTGGCGATATATTGAAAACGGGCCAAATTAGAAGTACCCTTAACCGATGAGCATGTATGCGAGGAGGAGGCGAGAGAGGTGTGTCAGGATCGTGCCTAATAGAAGTCTGTAGTATCTGCCAACCCCCCTGGGTGATAGGCGTTAGTGTTTATGTTATGCTATGTTACTTTTAATACTCACCGAGTCCTCCTTCAATACCTTCGCTTTGTTGAAGGACAGTCTTTCTGAAACATGATTTCCTCAATCAAAAATAGAGTAGAAGGAATGGTCTTGTGGCTTATTTTGACGGCTTGGTAGCGCAATGGATAAGCGCTGAGATGTGCCGATGAAGGCTATAAGTTCAAATACACGGGTAAGTTCTTATACATAAATGGGTGTCGTAAGAGGCGACAGAGGAGAAAGATGCAGGAGAACGGCAGCAGCATCTTCCTGATAAAAATTCAGAATAATAAAAAACTGCAAATATTCACGTACGTAGTGAATAATGACAATCTATGCAAGAGGTCTATATTCGGTAGTGTACTTTCATAGGCTGTAAGGAATTAAGGAATGAAATTGAAATTATTAAACTGTAAATATTATTTTAGATAGTAACAATGTAGTATTTTAGATAGTAATAATTAGTGTTTTTCTTTTCTTTTGTGGCTATTATTGTTTTTTTCGCTTATTAAATTTATGCATGTTGTACTTTTAAATAGTACTCCATTTTTGTTGCTCGTTTTGTGCTATGTGCTTTAAAGGACGAAAGGTTATGTTAGTGTATTTCTATTAGTGAGGAGAACCTGTTATTGGCTTCTTCTAAATTTAACATATTATTTACTTGTAAGCTGTCGGTTTTCCTACTAACATAAAATTAAAATAAATTAAAATATTATAAGAGGAGGTAAGGAGGAATAATTATGTCAAATTATCCGAATGTGCACGATGCTCGGATGACAGACATTTACATTTGGCAAAGAGGCCATAAAAATTGTATGTTTTTTTTTGAACTTAAAAATAATAGAATTTAATTTTTGATACTGTCTAAAATTAATTTAAAAATTAAACACATTTTTATTCTATTCAAGATTTTAGTTTTCACTTCTGTCGGCAGTCCCCAATCACTGCCAATTTTTAGTTTGCAAATGTACACGTTTAATTCGAACAGACTCTTTTATCTGTTCGAATTAAACGTGTGTCCTAGTTTACTCTTGTGCAATAAAATCAGAACTAAGTTTGGCGACAACCTCAGAGTATATATATCTTAATTATGATCATAGATACTCACACGAAATACAGCTCGGCACTACTCGTTGAATTTTCCGTTAAATTAATGTCCTCCGTCAGGTCCGACGGAACACAGTCCTTCCATTCGGGTTGGCACACGGCCCAGGGTAGAGTAGACTGGAAACTCATGGACAAGTAGTACAGACATAAGGCTATAATAGCTACGTAGTACGACAAAATGTATCCACAGCCTAGAGATTGAGCGTAACCGGTGCCTGCAATTGAAATAGACGTATACTTGCATAATATTTTTTTAACTTGTATTTATCTGAACTTAAATTTAATTAATTAATCAAGGAATTCTTCACGAAATTAGTAGCGTCCATCTTATAACATGGACTAAAATCTTTGTCCATATTATAAGATGTGAAAAACATTTGGACGCGTGTTACATGTAAGAGAGTTTTAAGATGATGATGCTTTTGAGAAATTATTTAGCTACTATAGCTTGTGGCGGCGCTGTCGTCGCGCCACAACCATCAATGTTCCGGAGTACTGCGATATTTTACGTGGTAGAGCCATGCTGCAGCCATATTAAGGTAACCGCACGAATGGGTTGGCTCGGCCGGGGAAGGACCACGTTCTCATAGAATTCCAGCGTCAAATAAGTTGAGCACCGGAGACCCTTTTTACTGGAAACGAGGCATTCTATAATATATCACGCTCAATATATCAGAAGTAGTAATCCCAACGTGATGTGAACACGCAACTAACAACCTTCGGAAACTACAACTTCAAGCCTTCGTCATTATCCTCATGAACCCCTACCAGTCGCTCCAGAGAATCGTTTTCTGCAGTCTCCTCGCAGATTTATAAGATAGACATATGGCACTTGCACCGGCCAATTGTTCTCACCGGCATCTCCTGTAAGTGCGTAGTACGGCATACATTACAAACCGGCATATCGTTCGCACCAGCATTACTTGCCCCTACGCACACGGCAGGCATTAAGGATGCGCCAGCAACCTACCTGCACTATCGAACTCCGGTGTGAGCAGAGGGGTGATATGGTGGCGCTGTCGCCGCGACACAAGATACTTCAAATTCCAGACAGAACCAATATATATGCAAAAATGCTAGTAGTTGGTTTTCAAGTTCCAATTGCGTGTTCATATATTTAATATAACATTTTACAATCGAAATATTTAAAATATTAAGATTTATTTGCTTTGAAAATTAATATTAATTAATTTAGGTCCATCAAGAATTATAAAAAAATAAAAATATAAATTTCTTTGCAACTTTCCGCTAAACATATAAAATGATGTGTCTTACCTGGATTGAAGCGCACCTCCCGCCCTCCCTCAATTGCATACACTAACTCCGTCACCACTAGACCAAGCACCACTACTCTCAACACCACTATTCCAGGCAAGACACACCATCGACGATAATACGACACGTGTTTCGCCTCTACACGAGGCATCCTCAGGTAATATAGACTCTACGGCGGCTGACCGCTAAGTACAGCAGCCGCCGTAGAGTCTATATTACCTGAGGATGCCTCGTGTAGAAGAAAGAAAGTTGCAAAGAAATTTATATTTTTATTTTTTATTATAATGGATTTCCGCAAAGTAACGCCTGATTCTATCAATTACCATCAAGAATTATTATAGAGAAGAAAATTATCAAAAAATCATTCATCCCCTCCGATGCCAAATGTCGCCTATAGTGAATCTTGGAAATATCTTAAGACAAATTCGAAGTCAAAATACGTAATGTATTGGTCTACAAAGTATATTTTGTAAGTCAAGAAAGTTACACTAACACTTTAACAAGTCCCTACGTCGGGAGAGCTTGTGAGAACAAGCTATAAGAAATTCACAGATAGACTATTTTCCTTCCAATATCTATAATTTAACTTTATAAAATATATACAAAAGAAAAAATGTCCAATGAACTCATTATGTCGACGCATTTTTATCTTTTAAATGATCATCACATGTGCTTTGAATTTTCCACAAGGGCCACAGCTTCCTCTTACTATCAGGTGGACTGTGTTCTCGTTTGTCAACCTTTTTCTAAAAAAAAAATTATACATCCATCCAAAAAATATGCCGCTAGCTTTATGGAGCCTGAACTTTGGAATGAAAAAATTAGATTTATTGCGCGTGTTAAAACTATGGACAACTCTTATTTATTCAAAAAATTGTAATATTTTCTTACATAAATAATACCGTATTATCCAAAATGAACTGTGATGCAACATACAAGGTATGGTAATTTCTTTAAAGCGCCTTGGTCTAATATTATAAATAGCACGTACTCTTACTGTATAGTGCTGTATAAATATATTTTCAATATCAGTTGTCGATCCGCACAACAGTAATCAATAGGACATAACACTATGGAAATAGATAAACCAATCTTGCTGTATCCACATTAGTTATCTGTTTAACTATATACACAGCAGAAATAATTCTTGACGAGACTTTAATATGAGGTCTCCATTGTAGGCGAGAATCAATAATAAAAGAACATAATAAGTATACATACATATTATAATGTACCAAGGAAGACGATTTCATCGTTCAACTTAATATGATGATGACGTTTTATTTTATTTCTAAATTTGGCATTCAAAAGCAAAGTAATTTGTTGTAAATCCGTTTAATAATAGAGATATTAAACGGATTTATTGTAGATGTGAATCTTAACTTCAATAACATTTACAAAATGTCATAAAAAACTTTGGAGGGTTCTACGTCACTTAGTCAGTTTTTTTTTCAATAGCCTCATATTCCTTGGTAATTATTTCGCGTGGTTGTGGTATTGATGTAATGGTTGGGGCAATCTAGAATATGATCGCAAACTGCAGACTTCCCGGAACGTTGATGCTTCAACTGAAATTAAATCTTCCCAAAAATAAATATAACGCGTTAAAAACCTTACGCAACAGACCAGAGCTTGCGATTCTCCGCGCAGATAAAGGAAATGCTACGGTTGTAATGGATACGTCGGATTACAATTTTAAAATACAACAACTTTTGTGGATGAAAGTACATACCGTGAGGTCAAAACAGACCCTACAACTAATACGCTTAAAACAACTAGCGATCTAATTAAGAAATACTCCAAGAAATTGAATCTAGACGTCAATTCGATAATACCTTGTGTGCAAAACCTCCCAAGTTGTATGGGTTACCAAAAATACACAAACCTAACGCTCCACTACGTCCAATAGTGAGTCAAATCGATTCCCCAACGTACAGATTGGCTCAACACTTAGCCAAAATATTATCACCACTCAGAGGACACACAAGAGCACATACTAAGGATTCATACCATTTTGTCAGTGAGATAAAAGACCTACGTCCTGCTGACAATGAAACCATGGTCAGTTTTGATGTTCAGTCTCTATTTACATGCCTACCTGTTGAATACTGCATCTCAATTATAACTAGGAAACTAGATGAAAATAACATGCCACCAGAATATGCAGTGCTACTAAGACATTGCCTTACATCTGGCTATCTATTGTGGAAGGAAGAGTTTTACAAGCAAGTAGATGGTGTTGCGATGGGCTCACCTGTATCTCCCATTGTCGCCGATATATTCATGGAAGAATTTGAGGAGAAAGCCCTCCTTACTGCACCTGTTACCCCAAGGTTCTACAAGCGGTACGTAGACGATACTTTCACAATTTTACCATCAGACAAAGTAACTGCATTTTTCAGAACATCTTAATTCCATAAACCCTAAAATTCAATTTACTATGGAGTTAGAGGCAAATAATTCCTTAGCTTTCCTAGATGTGTTAGTCATCCGAAATCCTAACAACACCATAGGTCATACTGTGTATAGAAAAAAGACCCATACAAACCGATACTTAAATGGTGAATCTCACCATCATACTTCACAGTTAGCTACCGTGGGCAAATCTTTGTTTCAGAGAGCACGAGGGATCTGTGACAGCAAACACCTGGCCGCCGAGCTTCAGCACGTCAAGCAGGTTCTGCACGACAACAAGCTTCGGGTCCCGCGCCTCCGTCACAGTGACCGAGTGAAGCCGGCCACAGTCGAGCGTGTGCCTGCTATACTACCATATGTTAGAGGTGTCACAGACAAGATTGGCTACATCTTGAAGCGAGCTTCTATTAGAACATTCTACAAGCCGCCGAAGAAGATTAGTCAGTTCTTACCATCCGTCAAGTGTCATATTCCTCTACACGATGCAGGGGTGTACAAGCTTGATTGTGATTGTGGTCTCTCATATATAGAGCAAACAAAGAGATCAATTAGAACCCGCGTAAAAGAACACATAGATGACGTGAAGCATCAACGTTCCGGGAAGTCTGCAGTTTGCAATCATATTCTAGATGGCCCCAACCATTACATCAGATTTGATAGACCACAAATCCTCGCGAAAGAACATCGATTCCCACCAAGGATGATACGTGAGGCTATTGAAATTAAAAAACATCCTACTTTCAATAGAGAAGGAGGCTGGGTACTACCACCTGCTTGGGATCCTATAATTAATAAAATTAAAACTAAACCCAAGCATACCACTGCAAGACTTCAAAATACAGTTAGTTCATTCTGCGTAGATCGGACCAAAGACAATAATTAAAAAGCTGAAGGTACTCCGGGTTAACTTTGACATCGGGACGTCAGTCACCTCAGTCCCCCGTGACCATGGGTGCTGGAAAGCACCCGAAACGTCGGGTATTAACATTAATATAAATAAAACGCGATAAAATCCGTAAAAGTAGTTTTAATCAACTGGTCACAAAGTTTATTTTATAAGATTAGCCAATATTTTGAGATACCATTATGCATTAATTTGTTCAATAGTTTTCAATTTTAATCAGTTACACGTCTTAAACGACTTTTAATCCGTCTTCTTAGCGTAGCAATGTCAAAAAATGGGTTGGATTTCGTGTGGGAAAGAATTATGATCACATATTACATTCTGGCGATAAAAAAATAAAATGTGCACTAACCTTTCATAGCTGGTGATAAAGCCCATATTGTGACGGAATTTCGGGAACTGAATTGTCCTATAGCTCCTTCGAGATAGTACATAGGTTTTCCTATCAAAATTAGCACAATGACGTAGGGAATAAGAAAAGCTCCGCCGCCATTTTGGTAGGCGACGAAAGGGAACCGCCATACGTTTCCTAGACCTACTGATGCCGCAATACAAGACATAAGGAATTCTATTTGATTTCCCCACATCGCCCGTTCAGGTTCATTGTCTTCCACATCTTCCTGAAATCACAAAATTAGAACATTAGAGAACGTTTAGAAAACTAAAATTGGCAGTCGTTTGTGAAGAATGGGAGCAGGTAAGTTTATTAAAAATATAGTAGACTTCAACCCCACATAAACTTATTTGCTTTCTTACATTTAAGCTACGCTATTTAAGCGACTTACAAAAATGTTTATGGCAAGCGAATTTATGAGAATACCTCGTCCAATTTGCTCAATGAATTCTATCCTTTCTTAAGTGAGTTTTCTCAGTGATATCTTCTATTCAAATAACTAGGTGATTTCTTGAATATATAGTATTAGGTTATTTTAGGTATGTTATTATATCAGATTATTTATGCAGACATGATGTGATGTGTACATTGCAACTGTAATGCGTTTATAAAATAGTAATTTAAGACCACCAGCAATTAAACCGTGTGTGGTTTCTGCTGGATGACTAGAATTTTTTTGTAAAACATCTTTTTGTATTTTGAGGAAATTAAAAAAAAGTTTGCTCTCCATATCTCCGACATAATATAAATAAAAAGTATAGCATTTTACTTCTACATTACTTGACACAATCTGTATTTCACCTTCTTTCGTCTTTACTAAATTCTCTTACACGGCCACCACTCCAACCATTTAAGGCCACGAGATAGCTCTGGTCTTTCCAACAGTGATCTTTAATGACACCCACGAGATGAAATGTGAAAGTAGATTCCCTTACACCAACAACAAAGTTTAGTAATTTTGTGTAAATGGTTATAAAATCGAGAGTTAAAATAATTTTTTGTATATTATTCTAAGCCAGCGCTTAGCTACAATCCCATCTAATGGTAAGTGATGATGTCTGATGAATGAGTAAATGATTTGCCTAAGATGACGAAACGCACTGACTTAACACAAGCCAATTCACTCTTGCCTTGAAAACACCCACATGTATTCGGATGAAAAAAATCTTAAACATTTATTAATTTAAGGAAACATTAAACTTATATTATTCTTTAAATAACATATTCTAAATTACATCACATTTATTAAATATTTTAAATTGGTGAGACAGTTGTGTCAACTTTTTTGCCAAATGTGCACCGCACCTATCGCAAACTGCTGAATAACGAACAAGAGTCTAGAGGCAGACAAAAGACGATAAAAATATTCTGATTACCGAGCCCAAATCTCACAAGTGCAATAATATTGGCTAAACTCTCAATAATTCTTCAGACTCATGGTGACATGTGATAATATATTCCTCGAAATGCCTCTTAAAAAGCGACAAATAAGAATATACTAGACGTAATAAAAATCAATCTAACTTACTTTCTTTTTTTGGTCTCCTCCATTTATAGACGGTTTCATCATTTCTGGCGGCAGATGAAGAGCCTTAGAGTCTTTTGACGCCACGTTTTCTGGACTGGGATCAAATCCAGTGTTTATTTGTTCTTGATTCTAATAATAAAATTAAAATTAAAATAATACCATACTAAAGTGTTAGTAGCCTAATAGTAAATAGCATGTACACTGTTAAACTTTTAAGTCATGAGGTTGTATCTGCCATTCCAAATACTGGTTATATTAATTGCATCGTTAATATTCTTTTAAAAATTCTAAAGATAACGTCATAACCTGAATTTAAAATAAGTATGCAATATTTGATAATAATCATTAAGCAACTTATTGTTAATTGATAATTACGCTAGTAATTTGACTCTTATCGTCCAATTCTAATAAACATAAAAAGGTAGTCAAATAGTTGTTAATACCTGCAGTGATGCAAACAAGATCATATTATTAAATTAAATATTTTTTGACTACGTACGTAATACTAAAATTTATATATCATATCGATCAATTAAAAGTCCTTTTTACAAATATAAAGACTTAATTTTTCATTTTCAAGTAAACACCTTACTATAACCCAATATATTAAAAGTTAACCCAATTTGATATTTATCATCTATTTATTTGTTATTTAATTAATTATTCTAAATGATTGAATAATATATCTTCCTTATGATTTAGCGACATGGTACTGGAACTTTGACATTTTGCAAAAATATAAATTGTTAACTTTCGGGTCTGATTGTGCCTCCGTGTAAACACTTGTTAGAATAACTCCTGCACAGCGAAAGCATCCAATTTTCCGCAAAAGGTAGTATGAGTGAGTGCCCTTGTCTTTGGGGAAAAATTAAATAAATACAACCTATAAGCTATTTTTACGCGAGTATTCTGTGAGGACATGATCATTCCCCGGTCGAGCCGACCTATTCGTGCATGAGCCATACTATAACCGTAATACAGCTCTACCACGTTAAAAATCCGCCTGTTAAGCGTTAGCTTAAGAGTAACAAACGAGCACAAAGTTCACTATAGATATCTATACTTATTCTCAATTGAAATTTCAATATTCTGAGGATAAATAGGAAATGCTTAGTAACTAGTTAAAAGTGTCCTACTGTTCGCCTCTCACCATGCGAAAAACACTAGCATTTTCTGCTATTTCACACTGGTTCACAAGCGTTGCAGTTTAATTATAAAATATACCTATAAACAAGTGGTAAAGTTAAAAATTTTGTAAAAGTGACTTAAATATAAATAAAATTGAGAACTTCGGGATAACTCAAAAACTACTGGTCAGATCTTGATCAAATCTACATAGGACCACACGAAAAATATCAGTTTAAAAAAAAGAATCATCAAAATAGTTTCACCCAGAGAAAATTTATAGTATAACAAGGATAAAAAATTTACTTACAAACAAATTGAATACCTAGAATAACAAGGAGGAGGTTCTCAATTCGACTGTATCTTGTTTTTTTTTTATCTGAAAGCTGGTGCATGTCGTGTAGTCCCATATTAATTTAATCAAGATCTAACGAGTAGTTTTTGAGTTATCTTCAATAATGCGTATTTAATTGACTTCGGATACATTGAAGATGTCCTCATTTACATTATGTTGAAATCGGTTGTACATATTTTATAATTTTACAACTCGTTTGAAGTCTGTTGAAAATAAAATATACTAATGTGCAAACTGCGAATGTATATTTTATTTTCAAAAATCAGTTCTATATAGTTCAATTATTGTATCAATAGCGATTTTAGTACAATTATCGTCAACAATAATCAATGTGAGAAATATTTCAACATTCTTATTTGTTTTGATCCCATAGATACATTTACAACGGAAAATCGGGGAGTTTTTCTACTATCTAATTTTTTATGATGCGGAGTCGGTCGGATTAGATATATCGCATACTTACCTTTAATTATGAATGTCACTCGCGATAACCACTTGCTGATTCAAAGTCTACAAAACTAATATGACGCAAATAAAGCGTAAACACTGATAATTATAAGGATAAGGAAAATTGTAGCACGTGTTATATTATTCAATATCACGTTCATCTATAATATAAACAATATTTTAAGGAAAATATATTTTTGTAAATCAATGCACTTTACCATCTTCGGCTATGTCAATCGTACCTATAGTACTGACATATTAAAATAGTTAATACATATAGTGACAACCCTATATTGTACCCACATAATAATAATAATAATTATTATTATGGGGAATACTAATTGTAAATATACTCCCACGGGAATAAGAATAAAAAATTTTACTATTCCCTGCCCACTTCGAAATTAGGATTTGTTATTTATTTATGTGGGTATTATATAAGATTTTTCATTTTCATTTATAATTATATACTTATAGAACCCAACCAGATGAGCAAACTATATAGATACCCCATGACAATAATAATAACGGACCGAATTCCAACCACGGCGACCAGCCTCAACGGAGGCTAGCCATCGGCGCAGGACAGGATTATAGTGCCCAAGTGTCGCACACACAAGCACAGGTGCACTCTCTATTCCCTCACTCTCATAATCCGATGGAACGGTAAACCGACACGACTGGAGAGAGATCAGGCGCAGGACCAACGGCTTTACGTGCTTTCCGAGGCACGGGGGTGAGACACCGCCAACTTCCTGATTCCGGGCAACTACTGAGAATTTCTTGACGGAAAAACTCAATAATTAATTTTTTGGCCCGACCCGGGAACCCAGGACCTCATGATCAGTAGTTGCACTACTACAACCACTAGACCAACGAGGCAGTCACATCCACTTGTAGTGAGCATACAACAATTTCCTTTAAATTACAAAGTACCAATGAAGAACGAATGAAAGAAAAAATAAAACGTTATGGTGGGATACTGAGGTATGGACGGAATTTGAAGCAAAGAAGAGAGCATTACAGGTACTACTGAGACGTTAAAGGAGTTGTAAGGTAAAAGTAACAACGGGTAATATGATAGAAGAATGTCTGATGTTCTAAGTAAGTTGTTAAATGTTCCTGAAATTCGTAGGAACTGCCAGCGGTAATTAAAAACAGCATAGAATGAATACTTTATGAGACGAGAATGGCTGTATTTTGAATAACGAAGTTTTGAGGTTAAAGAGATGGAAGGAATACTTTGAAAGCGCGTTTATGAGTGAGGAGACGTTTACATTAAATTTACGAAAGGAGAAGAAGGAGGTAAGGAGATTAGTATAGATGAAATATTGAAAGCATGAAAGCAAATAAAACAGCCAGATATGATAGAGTATCACTCGAAATGCTAAGGTCTGAAGAGGGAGTGGTGGCAGGCCTGCTATACACTTTATTTAATTTATATTGGGAACTGAAGCGGTTATAAGGGAAAATATTCATAGCAGTTCTGTAAAAACTACCGTGGTATCGGCCTGCTTAGCATTGTGGGAAAACTCTATGCTAAGTTGTTGAAGGAATTATGAAAGAAACAAGCTGGATTTACAAAGGAAAGTTTTTTTTATGTGCGAAGAAGTTTTTTTTTGTGCGTTCATGGACTTTAAAAAGGCTTATGACAGAATGAACAGGGATGTCTCATGGCAAGCACAGAACTCATTTTGGTTGAGTGCTGGTTGATACAGACATTAAAATATCTTTGTTAGAATCTCTCTATCGTATTTGTGTCAGGATATATAGGGCACACTCAGTCCGAGTGTGTGCCCTATATGGTTTCTCATCCATAGGGGTGTCAGATAGGCAGTGGCGTAGCGTGCCTATATATATAAAGATTATAGGTTAATAATTACAATTAATGCTACCCAAAAAATTCAAATCAAATGTAAGCTTTTCTTGTCTAGTTCGGCGAACTTAATATGTCGAGGAAAAAGTTTCTTCGAATTTCATATACACAATTTTTTTTTATAATTTCATTACATTTAAATATAACAAATATGCGTGTAGATGACTTTGTCTCGTTGCTGTAGGTATGATGAAATTTTCTCGTTTGCTGTAATGCATGAAAATGCGACAAGTAGTTTTGACAGTCCTCTCTTGATATTACCTTAACACTACCCAAAGAATTCTGAAGTGACCGAAACAGGTGAATATCTGAAGGTGCAAGGTCAAGACTATATGGTGGATGCATTAACACTTCCCAACCAAGCATCCTCAATGTTTGCTGAGTGACTAAATGTTGTGTGGTCTAGCTTTATCATGATGAAAGACCACTCTTTTCTGATGATTTATTACGGCCGTTTTTTTCTCGATTTCTTGCTTGAGTCTAAGAAGTTGTGGTAGTAGAGATCAAAATCTATGGTTTTGCCCAGTTATAAAAGCTCGTATTAAACGATGCCCTTCTTATCCCACCATACACAAAGCATCACCTTATTGCGTGTTAATCCGGGTTTCGCTACCGTCTGTGGACTAGAGTACCGTTTGACCATGATCTTTTTCGAACGATCTTGTCGCACGTGTGTAATCCACTCACATCGGCAGTGATTAAGCTTTGCAAAAATGGTTCAGTTTTATTACGTTTCAATAGAGAATCGCAAATGAGTACACGATTCCTTAGGTTTCTTACAGTGAGCTCGTGTGATACCTAAATATCGAACTTTTTTGTATAGCCAAACTCTTAAATGGCTCAAAACTGTTTTTGCTCAATCTTCAATTCTTCGGCTATGTTGTAAAGAACTACTTCTTCCACTTTTTCAAAAAAAGCATCGACATTATTCGTATTAAGGTGACCAGAGCGAGCTGCATCTTTTTTGTTATAAAACTTCAAAATGTGTCGAATTTTTTCGTTGGATTCACTAATTTTGGCAGACAGAAAACAATTGAATGAAAATTGAATCGAAATTTTAAATAGTGAAGAAAAAAGGTTTGTCTTTCTAGTGGAAATTAAATTTAGTTGTTACAATGTTTTCATTATTGATATAAATCATTAAAGCGTCGTTTCTTGAAGACCTAGGACACCTTTTTAAGGGTAATTTTATATTTTTAGGTGAATCGTTAGTCGTAACTCAGAATTGACAAGCATTTTATACAAATGCTAAAAAAGTATATTTTTTGGGTAATTCCGTTTGTCAACCCTAAAAAATCCACCCTAGAGTGGATTCTCGCAAACGCG